AGCCTCTGGTTCCTCAGCTGTAAAATGAGCATAGCAATGACCCCAGCTTCCTAGCGCTGCAACAAACAAGTAGCTTATGGTGTGAAACGAGTTCCTTGCAGTGCCTGCTAAATATCCTATACATGTCCACCATTATTTTCATTCAAGGGAAGCAGAAGTCTGTATTTGTATGGAAAATCTCCCAGTTTTTAAATTTGGACCAATAGTTTCAACTTTTATAAACCCAGTGTGAGCCAGTATGGCCCCTGGGGTACAGACTTAAAATCTGTGTTTAGAATTTTGCTAATACAAAGTGGCGTCCTTCAGGGTGTTTGCTGTATTCGGTACCTGGCGAGTGGGGTTGGCTTGATAAACATGCCGGATGGGTGGACAAGTGAATGATGGATGGATGATGGATGGATGAGTTAACGAATTCACTAATGGATGCATGAACGTGTGAACTAATGAGAACAATAAATGAATGCAATTGAACGTTTATGAGAAGAGATATTTTAGAAGTTAAATTCAGCCTCTCTAAAACTGGGCTCTGACCCTCCCCCATAAACCCGCTGCCGTTCAGTGCATGGCAGCTCCATCCGTTTAAGGGCTCTGCAAAAACCTTGGCTCATCCCTCTCTCTCACACCTCCCTTCCCTCGCCTCCTCCCTGTCTCCCTCTCAACCTCTCCATTCCAGACACACTGACTTCCTTTTGCTGTTCCCCAGACGTGTCAGGCAGGCACATTCCTGTCTCAGGATCTTTGCCTTTGCTGTTTCTTCTACCTGAGCTACTTAAGATACTAAAGTGACTTAGGTCAACACCCTCACCTTGACCACTTGACTTAATACTGCAGCCTGCCCCATGGCCCCTCCTGGGGTTCCCAGTGCCCTTACTGTGCTTTATTTATTTATTTATTTTCGTTTTTCCACAGCACTTTTCACTTCCAGCACACTGTTAATTTACTTATTTATTATGTTCACTGTCTGTCTCCCCAGTCCTGGAAGGCAGGGCTCTGTTACCTAATACATCCTGAGCACCTGGAACAGAGCCTGGCACACAACAGGTACTCAATAAATGCTTTAGAGCAAAAATACGTGCAGGCAGAGAACATCATCCCTCAGTGATCACTTCTAAAGTGAAACATCCATGGAAAATTAAGGTCCTATCCATACCTTGTCCTGGAGGCCTTCTATGCATGCTCCATGCAACTCTGTTGCCTGACCCTGCATTGAGGGTCCTGAACAGAGGCTCCTGCTTCATCTTGTGACCACCCCACCTGCATCAGATGTGGCTGGGAGTGGGAGACCTGGACAATTGTGTCCAGCCTTGGAAAGCCATCAGCCTCCCCATTGACATCCTGAGCTCTCATTATTATTTTCAGGGACATTGACTTCTCATAAACTCCATCTCTGCAAAGCTAAGCCCATGGGTCATGATGGTCCCCTTGGGTCAAAGAGCTTGCCGGGGAGGCTAATAGATCCCCTGGCCATGATCCGTGCCTGGACAGCACATTGGTTAATTTCCTCTGCAGCAATGGCCTGAGCCTGACATTCTCTGTCTTCTCCCTGACAGGGTCTCCCTTTGCCCGAGCCAGCATTAAAAGTGCCAAGCTGGAGAACTCGACTTTTTTTCACAAAAAGGAAAGGAGGATGCGTTTCTACATCCGCCGCATGGTCAAAACTCAGGCCTTCTACTGGACTGTGCTCAGTCTGGTAGCCCTCAACACGCTGTGTGTTGCTATTGTTCACTACAACCAGCCCGAGTGGCTCTCCGACTTCCTTTGTGAGTATCACCCAGCCCCACCCCTGCCGGCTTTTGATCCCTTCCTCACACCCTTTTTCTGGTTCTCTTTCTCTGGTAGTATGTGTTCCTTTTTGGTCCTTGTTGAATCTGCCCTTTCATTTGGCCATTTTTACCACTATGATTAGGGCCAGTGTTGCTGCTGCCACAACAATGGAGCCCATCTTCCTCAGGCCTGAGAGCTGGAGGCTGGAATTCAGGCCACTAAATGTTTCTGTGATCTTTTTCTAAGAGAGAGACATAGTGCTACTGGTGAAGGGCTATTGGATAAGAGACAGAGAAAGAGGCCACAAAACAGCCAGATAGAAACAAAAGCATTTATATGATTTCTGTGTGCATCTCTGGGAATGTTAAAATAATGTATGGTTAAGAGATGGGGATGCCTTAGAAACAGGGAGTGGCCTATATGTTGTCTCTATTTTCTCTGCTCATTTTGACTCCCTGCTTCTTCTCCCCTCTTCTTTCAAACCTGCTGCTTTCCTACTTCCTCTCCTACCCTTTTTGGCTTCTTCATGTCTGGGATTCATTCCTAGAAGATCCTCTCCAACCAGTGAGAGCATCTTGCTCCCTCAATAGGTATCAGGATGCCCAAGGCTTCGCCTTCTGGGCCTATTTCCAAATTCCAGCAATTAGCAGGAGATGTCAGTATCAAAACTGAGGGCCAGGTGGGGGTGAGGAGAAGTAGTGAGAGGTGGGGAGACCTCTGGCCAGGATTTAAAATGTAAAGAGCTCTGAGTAATCAACAAGAGTAGTGGCTGGGAAGTGAGAGGGCAAGTAGATGCTCTGGCTGTGGCTTATGGGACCCAAGTGAGGTCTTCCCAACAACTTTTCTACCTTCTGGCTGCCCTCTTCATGCATCTATTGGTTTGTCTGACTTATTTCCTGCCCTCCTGACCTGGTTCAGAAATGACCTAGGACAGCCACAAGAGACAGCCAAGCCTAGAAATGCCTAAGAGCCACGTTGAGGTCATTGTCTCCTTGTAACCCTCATTGTTCTCAGTCATGTAGGTTGACCCTCCAGGACACTCCTCAGGGACAAGTTCTCTTTCCGAAAGCCCTGACCTAGTTCCAACCTTAGTAATTGTATTTGGTCCCTCTGGAGTCTCATAAATGAGGACTGTTTTCTTCTTGCTTTAACCTCTTCTGATAGTCTATTTTTAATCTCCTGTATTCTCCCCACTAATCACCTAGCACAGTCTGTCCTGGTTCAGGAACAGGGGATTGGGACTTCCTGCCTTGGGCCTCTGTGTCTGCAAAAGTCCTTTAATTATCCCCATTTTTCAGTTGAGAAAACTGAGACACAGAGAAGCTAAGTAACTTGCCCAGTGTCACACAGCTAGTAAGAGATGAAGACAGGATTTGAACCCAGGCAATTTGGCTTCAGAGTCCAAGCTGAGTCTGATGACAGAGTTCAACCCTGGGCACCCAGTGACCTAAATTCTCGATGCCTGCCCTACCTCTAACTTGCCATGGGACCTTAGGCAAGTCTTTACCATCATCTATCCATCAAAGATGTCTTTGATTATAAGGCACTGTTTTATTTGATGTGCTGCCAAGAAATAAAACAATGCTGCCATCTAAACATGCCAATTTTAAGACACACCTCAATTTCAGAGATGTCAAAAGGTGAACAAAGGGGCCGGCCCGGTGGCGCACTGGATAAGTGCGCCGCTTGGGAAGCGCGGC